AGAGAGAGAGAGAGAGAGAGAGAGAGAGAGAGAGAGAGAGAGAGAGAGAGAGAGAGAGAGATGGCAGAGAGTGGTAGCGCACGGGGAAGGGGGAGCACGTCTGCAGGGAGCACGTCTGCAGAAAAGGAGGGCGGATGTCACCCTCTATGTGGTAGGGGGATAGCGGATGCCTGCATCTATCAACCGATCTTATCGGGGTGGGAACACAAATTACAAATAAGACTGGAGAGAGAGCGGCGTGCGAAGGATGAGAGATATAGGCAATGTGAAAAGGAGGCAGACCGAATTTTGCAATTGGAGAAGAGTGATACACAACAATTACAAGTCGAGGCGCAACGGGAGAGAGGGGAGGTGCGAGGTTTACCTGAATCAGAGCTAAAGGAAAAAGCTTGGGAGGCCATGGAATTCGCGCGCATATTGGAAAAGAGGAGAGGGACATCGACGGAGTGAACCTTAAGAGAGAGAGAGAGAGAGAGAGAGAGAGAGAGAGAGAGAGAGAGAGAGAGAGAGAGAGATGAGGGCGGTGTCAGCGGTCAACATAAGAGAGAGAGAGAGAGCTCAGAGAGAACTCAGACTGAGTGCATCTGAATCGGATTGTGGTTATATCAGTCGTGCGCTGTGCTGTCATTGCAGTATCTTAACGGGCCGGTTCTTGGTTCTGATCTTTGCCATATAGGCATGCGAGAACTGCCGAGTGAGTGCGTAGGGTTTTAAGAATAAAACTGAAAGCAATCCAATAAACAAATAATACATGTGTGTGATTTTGGGACTCTGGAGATAGATAGATAGATAGATAGATAGATAGATAGATAGATAGATAGATAGATAGATAGTAGATAGATAGATAGATAGATAGATAGATAGATAGACAGAGAGAGAGAGAGAGTGCATCTGAATCGGATTGTGCTTATATCAGTCGTGCGCTGTGCTGTCATTGCAGTATCTTTACGGGCCGGTTCTTGGTTCTGATCTTTGCCATATAGGCATGCGAGAACTGTCGAGTGAGTGCGTAGGGTTTTCAGAATAAAACTAAGAGCAATCCAATAAACAAATAATACATGTGTGTGATTTTGGGACTGCAGAGATAGACAGACAGACAGATAGATAGATAGATAGATAGATAGATAGATAGATAGATAGATAGATAGATAGATAGATAGATAGATAAATAGATAGATAGAGAGAGGGAGGGAGAGAGAGAGAGAAAAAAAAAGAGAGAGAGAGAGAGAGAGAGCTCTGAGGGCGGTGTCACCGGTCAACATAACTCTCTACTCTTTGTCCGTGACGATGATAATGTTCTTCGATAAGGTTGTTTGTAGTTCCATACTATGGTTAACATTGCCGATCCCGTTGTGCTCTGGCTTTGGGCGATTGATATGGACTGTATTCAGTTACGTTATATGAACTGTATTCATTTGATCGATAAAATTGAGTTTTTGTAATGGCTTTCTCCGCGGTTTTCTCGCAATGCAACGACTATGATGTTGTTTCGGTTTTGTCATTTGGGATGCGTATGATAATGATTTCGGAGAACGAGAATCATGATGTGCAAACGCTAAAGACGAAAAAAGAAAGAAAAAAAAAAGACATTGAAAGAAAGGCAAGATAGCAACAGACAATGTCAA